GGCATTAATCGGAATTGCATGTCCTTTTTGCTGACCGCGCTCGTGCCCATGAATAATTCTGCTCTCCTTTATTACATTTTATTCATTAGGAGCACTTCAACCCATCTCGCAAGGTAAAACGCGTAAAAATCACGAGCGATCCAATTTTCGTGGTGCAAAAGCTCAACACTACACTAAAAGATGCACGCTACCGTAACCCTGAATTCGCAAGAATACTTTATGAAAGTTTCTTCTTCTTTCGACCGTTTTTCTTCCGTGTTTTTGTTGTTTTTCGTATTCTTTTCTTTGCATTGGATGATATCCACTACTGGGAGATGTGATAAAGGGATTTGTGAGCCAGGGGTTGCACAGAGACCGCAGGGAGGTGTGACTGTCAGGGAGCGATTTTGTTTATGGTGTTCTTGAGGCTCTTCTTGCTTTTTTCTTCTTTGGGGAATTACTTATCAGCTACTGTTTCATAATTGAAAAGCAAGTATCCATGACACTTCTATCGCGGGAGCTGTATTTAAGTAAGACAGGCGCAAAGAAGAAGCGGGATTGGCGTGGACAGGAATATACCATTTTCACTTTAAATCGGACACTTTTCAAACCAAATCGGACACTTTTCAAACCAAATCGGACACTTTTCAAATCCAAATCGGACACTTTTCAAACCAAATCGGACACTTTTCAAATCAAATCGGACACTTTTCAAACCAAATCGGACACTTTTCAAATCAAATCGGACACACCCCTTACAATTAGGTGGTTGATAACTAGACCACACTAGGTACTGTTGCAAGCCCCGCCCCATTATCCCCGCCCACTTCTCAGCGCGGACAGGGTTTTCCGAGATGCTTCATGAAATCTGCTCCCTCGACTTTTTTTCGTTTTTGCCCTTTGCACACACACTTCAACTGAAAAAGATTGATACCTATACAGATCTGACTCCGCCCACTTAACAATGAAGTTACGTAAGTTCTGAATTTTTATAACTTTTTTCGACGTAGTTCTTTTCACATCCAATCTTCACAAAACGAATAACCATGCACAGCACACCAGGCCCCGCCCCTCTGACCCCGCCCACTTGTGTTTATCGCGGAATTTTGGTTTTTCTTCCGGATTTTCGCTTTTTTAGGCTTTAGCGATTGGCTCCGCCCACCAATGGAAGCTCCGCCCACTTTGGGGAAGCCCCGCCCACTTTTCGAAAATGATGCAAATCGGCGGGCTAGTGTCCGTACTGGCGGATTACGGCCTCTCCCGTCGCTCAGAACAAAGTTTCCCTTTTTTCCGGTTTTTCCCTTTTTTTTATTCTATGTGCCGGGAGAGGCCGTAATCCGCCAGTACGGACACTAGCCCGCCGATTTGCATCATTTTCGAAAAGTGGGCGGGGCTTCCCCAAAGTGGGCGGAGCTTCCATTGGTGGGCGGAGCCAATCGCTAAAGCCTAAAAAAGCGAAAATCCGGAAGAAAAACCAAAATTCCGCGATAAACACAAGTGGGCGGGGTCAGAGGGGCGGGGCCTGGTGTGCTGTGCATGGTTATTCGTTTTGTGAAGATTGGATGTGAAAAGAACTACGTCGAAAAAGTTATAAAAATTCAGAACTTACGTAACTTCATTGTTAAGTGGGCGGAGTCAGATCTGTATAGGTATCAATCTTTTTCAGTTGAAGTGTGTGTGCAAAGGGCAAAAACGAAAAAAGTCGAGGGAGCAGATTTCATGAAGCATCTCGGAAAACCCTGTCCGCGCTGAGAAGTGGGCGGGGATAATGGGGCGGGGCTTGCAACAGTACCTAGTGTGTCAACCACCTAATTGTAAGGGGTGTGTCCGATTTGATTTGAAAAGTGTCCGATTTGGTTTGAAAAGTGTCCGATTTGATTTGAAAAGTGTCCGATTTGGTTTGAAAAGTGTCCGATTTGGTTTGAAAAGTGTCCGATTTGGTTTGAAAAGTGTCCGATTTGGTTTGAAAAGTGTCCGATTTAAAGTGAAAATGGTATATATAGCTGGTAGTTGATGTTTCACGGTTCGCGTGCGCCGCCTAGAGTGAACGCTTTATCTTAAATCCTGAATGACGCTAGCTAACCTAACCTCCAGTCTCATTTTTCGAGTGACGAAATGTACTATCTTCTTCTACTGCTCAGCCGTTCACCTCGCACTTCGTAAGGGAAAGAATTCCCGCAGGCAACTTCGCAACAACCCTAAGCCCCGGAAGGAGCGTCGTTGAAGATGCATGTGGAAAACGTGGAGCGACCAAAAAATGTGTTGGTGATCCCAGGACAGAAATCTTTTTTCCTTCTTGTGGTACGTGACGGCAACCTCCAAAAATCACAGCTTATATTTTATCCCTGGCTGAAGTTATTAGGTTGTCCGGAAAGTTCTGCAGGTTTTGAGTGTTTAACTTTAAACGATCATAACTTTCTTAACACTCATCGGATTTAATCCAAATAGCACCATTCGAATCAGCACACTTTTGCCAATGTGACAGCAGTCGAGAAATCCCATCAAAGAAAAAACTGGGTGGTCGAGAATCCACGAAATCTACGGCTTTTTTGCCTGGTCCTGATTGATGAAGTATTTTCCAGCAAGGAAGTTCTGAAAATGTTTGAAAAGGTGATAGTCGGTTGGTGAAAGGTCTGGAGAATATGGCGGGTGAGGTAGAACTTCAACCCCCAATTCGTTCAATTTATGGATGATTTGTGAAACGTGTGGGCGGGCGTTGTCATGCAAAAGAATCGGACCCTTTCTTTTGATAAGTGTTGGCTGCAGCTGACAAAATTTTCGGTACATTTCGTCGATTTCTTCACAGTAGGGTTCTGCTGTGATGGTTTGGCCTGGTGATAAAAAGTTATAGTGGATCACACCAGCCGATGACCACCAAGCCGTGACCAGAATCTTTTTTCGTGAGGGTTCTTTGAAAATTACCTCGGTGGTTCGTCGAAATCCAACCACTGTCCGGAACGTCTCCTGTTATCATACATGACCCATTTTTCATCACAGGTGACAATTCGGCCAAAAACAGGTCGTTTCTGCTGCGCAAAAGCAATGCAGAAGGAACCTCGAGACGTGCCGATTCCTGCCGGTCACTCCGATTGTGGGGCACCCAATTGTCGAGTTTTTTCACCTTCCCAATGCGTTCCAGACCATCTGCAACAGTGGATTTGCCAACGCCTAGCTTTTCTGCAATCTCTCGAACTGTTTGGGATGGGTCAGCCTCCAAAATCCCCCTAAAATCCTCGTCAGATATTGCTTTAGGTCGACCGCTATGAGGTTCATCTTCAAGGCTGAAATCTCCAGAACGAAATTTGTTGAGCCATTGCCGCACAGTGCTTTCTCTAGCACTATTGGGCCCCCACACCTGGTTAATTTGTTGAGCTGTTTCGATTGCGGATTGCCCCAATTTATAGTCGAAGAAAAAATCGTCCGAAGTGCTCTTTTCACATGCTTGAAAAATCTTAAAAAAGGGGGTTCATCAAGCAATGGTGAAACGGCAGTTATACCATCAGATAGCGCAAAGAATTCTCTTCAGGATGTACTACTGAGACGCAAGGGAGAATGAGTTTTTAATCAGCAATGAATGTACAAAAAATAGTAACACAAAACCTGCAGAACTTTCCGGACAACCTAATAAATGGCCTAGTTGGCCCAACCTGCAGGATGAACATGAAATTTGGGAATTCTTCTATGCTATATCAGTGCCTTAGTGTGACACTCAGTATGTAAAAAAGTAAGTAAGTATGTATTTGTGTATGTATGTATGCGTGTGTGCACGTATGTATGTAAGAATGTATATATGTATGTATGCGTGTCCGTCTGTCCGCAACATGCCTCAGTGGCTTTAGGAGACGAGAGTGGACAAATTCAAAGCGCCTGTCGCAGCAACTGTAGATAGTCTGATGCTAACTTTCACTAACTGATGATATAGGGTGTGGGAGGCGACACTCCTGGTGGGTGATAGAAATCAAACTTACCTGATGAGATACGATAAGAGACTACAGAAGAGTATACGCCAGATTCATAGTCATCCCCAGTGTAGAAACTCTCTTCCAACAGGTGATATGCATAAGTTGTGGGACGTTGACACTATTGGTGAGTGACAGAAAGTTCCCGCAGTTGATACGATACGATAAGAGGCTGTAGAAGAGGAGAGTCGACAAAGACTGCACCAGCAACTGTAGGGAGTATGTTCCAGTAGGTGATACTGTTTGTGAGACTGGGGCACTGCTGGTGGGAAACAGTAAGCGTAACAGTAACAGTTAATGAGGATCCATGAGGAGCGTTGCCGCAATCGCCGCTCTTTAGGCGGTATCGGTTTCACATTGCCAAATTTGAAGGTTCAGGAACAGAGACTTTGGTGAATGATGACATGTTATGATATCAGTTGTTAAGAATACATGAAGGGCTGTCGTTACTACATTCTTGAATCTATAGTGCTGGTTCTGTAGCTTTAGTATTACACGCAAACAGCTCACTGCTTTGTGTCACCTCACCCCTTATCCCCTAAGATATCGGTGATGTTGAGGGAATCAAGATGAAACCTTTTGCTTTCCTACCGTACAAATTCAAAAAGTCATCCGTCGCGGGGAACTGTTCTTGAATTGCTTGAGGCCCTCCACGCAATTCCCCACAGTTCAACACACTTTTCAACAACTGAAAATAACGAGCTTTTTAAGGTTATTGTGAACCAGAGGGGGATAGTGTGGTGCATTTTCATTTACACTACTTTATTTTGTTTATAACAAAACTCTTTGCGATTGGGGAAGTATTCTCCAGAGATTGTCATGGCTGAAAAGTGTTACTTTATGAATGTGGGAAAAAATTGCGAAGATTTCGTGATGCACAAACCACGTTTTTTTCAGAGGAAACGGGCTCTAATCCCACTGCATTACGCATCGTATCATATCGTATTATAGGGGGAGACTTTGCCATTATATTCCATCTAATAGCCACCCATACTCTACATAATGAAATAAGAACCATTTCTCGATCAACAGTAAACTTGAACTCTCTTCTTTCTGGCAAGAATGACTATTTCACAGGCCACCGCAACAGTAGGAACGAAGAGTCGAAAACGACGAAAACGATCAGCTAGCAGCAAAACGGACAAAAAAGATAAGCCTGAAGCCGTCGCTCCAGTGGAAAAAAGGGAAGAAAAGCCTAAAAGAGAGAAGGAAGAGTTGAAAGAGGATGGGGGAAAATCGCTTCAACAGAAACGTCCCATTAGCGATTATGACAACGTAAAGTACACCACGGAAGAGTTAGGATATGAACGCCTTGATACGGCCCACGAAAAACAAATACAAGAAGAAATTAAGAAAGCAGAAAAGGAACCTAAAGGGGTGATCGAGACGCTGTGTCAGCAGGACATTATCATGCATGAGGGAAAGGAACAAAAAGAGCAGGGTACAGTACAAAAAGAAGCTGGTCGTTGTGCGAGTGATACAAAGCTCAAGCAGGAGAAGGACAGTTCGAAACGGAGGGAAGACCATGCGAAGGATGAGGAAAAGAAAATGGAGAAGAAATCTGAAAAATCTGTCCAGGAAAAGAAAAGAGAAAAGAAGCTGGAAAAGACAGAAGAAGAAAAGAAGAAAGAAAAGAAGTTGGAAAAAACAGAGGAAGAGAAGAAAAAGGAGAAAAAAGTGGAGAAGTCAGATAAAGAAAGTAAAAGGCCCCCTGCAACAATGAAAGATGATGTGAGGAAGGAAGTTGAAAAAGACGACATCAAGGATAAGGGAGAAAAGAAAGTGGCAGGCTTGAAAGAAGAGGGCAAGAAAGACGGAGAGGACAAAGAGCAAGCTAAGAAAAGAAGCAAAGAGGAAGTGACGAAGAAAGTGGATTCAAAGGAAACTACGAAGAAGGAAGAAAGGAAAAAAGAGGGAACCGAAAAAATGGAGGTGAAAGTGAGAAAAGCAGAGTCGACGGAAAAGCTCAAGAGCATTGTCGTGAAGAAAGAGAAACAGACTTCAGAGCTGGTCGGAAAGGACCAGGGAGATAAAGTAAAAATGACCAAGGAGAAAGAACAAGCTGGATTATTGGAGAAAGAGAAAGCTATCAAAGAAAGTCAGCAAAAACCTCAAGAAGCCAAAGATCCAGACGTAGATAAAAAAGTGAAGGCTAGCCCGGTGAGGAGAGTCCCCTCCAGGGATGCAGAGGTCAAAAAAAGCGACACAGTCGTTCGAACGAAAAAGAGTGCAACGGGCAGGTGAAAGGAGTATACGATATAATTTAAAGATTTGTTAATCGGTGAGTTGTCCATTCACAGTTCATTGTTCGTGTTTTCAACTGAACTAGCAGACATGGTTTTATCCGATTAGTTTTGTTTTCCAGGTTTGGCAAAAGTGCGAACGATTTTTAACCCTGAGTATAAACTTTTGATGTCTCAAAAAATCTTCAAAAGTTTCATTAATAAAATAGTTCCAACTTATGAGTTCAGCGTACGTTTTGTTCGTAACAACATCGGCCTGTAATTGATGTACACATCGAGGAAGCCGACTTTGAAAAATGAAATACACTGCATCATATTCACAAAGCAGACAGCCTTGATGACAGATGCAGTGCTCCACTCGAAATATGCCACTTTGGACAGATAAATGTATCGCCTTTTTGAATACGGTTACGGGTGAACATCGGGAAGCATCCACAAAAATTGAAATAATTCAAACAGAAGTGAAAATTAAACTCACAAAGTTCCACAAAAACGAGTCCAAAAGACCCAACAAAGTTGAGTTAGTCAATTGCGCAACCCAATCGAGTAACAAAGCTTCATACGAGTAATCAGAAACAAAGCCTTATACGCCTTCTTTGTATTCAGCTCAATCTTAAGAAAACTACTCTTATAAACCAGTAACTTTGTGTGTCCTTTTGTGGGTGTGTATGTCCTGTAAGTCCGGGGGGGGGGGGGGGGTGGGTACCAAGTGACCTCTCCGCTCTGCTTCCTTCCCCTGCACGTGTTCAGCCGGACCTGAGCACGTGTAGGGTAGGGAAACAGGGGAAGAGGTTGGATGAAGGGGGGGCGGGAGTTGCGAAGCGCACGCGAGCGCAGCAAGGGAGGAGGATACAACCGCAATCAAATATGCAAACTAATCCAAATAAAACAACAAACTAAGATGTTGTTTAGATTGTGATACCCTCAGTGTATGCGACACACTTGTACACTCCGAGCCATTGCACAAGTAGCTCGCGTAGCAGCTGGACGTGAGCTCGCGCGTGGGCTGCCATCTATTACGATTCCATCAAAATGCGCAGTATTAACAGCTAAGTGAATGATAAACTCCGTACCATTATGAAGTGCGCCTTACGAAGCCGAGACAGATAAAGAGAAGGAGAAGAGCTCGGCGTCGGTCGGGCGATCCGATTGGTCTCAGGGAAAAACCACGAAATGCCCGTCATCATAGCATAACACAAGAGTTCTCAGCACCAGAACTTGACAAAGGAACAAATCAATGACTTCCCGCTGCCGTGAGATCTTCTCCCTTATTAGACACACTCTATACCCCATAGATGAGGAGGGTTTTATTGTAGGCATTCGAATGTGTCATACGATATGTTCTTGACATATTTTTATTAGAGCCAACTGTCATCCTGTCTTATGCTGAATAAGACGTGAGTGCAAGTTTCCCACAACCACAACATCCCTCCAAAGCGCACCAGTAGTCAACATCAGGTAAAGTCCGCAGCCAGCTCACCCATCACTGGAAAATCTCTTACACATTCTTGTGATTGTCAATGTGGTGTCTGTCAAGCACTGATATCTTATGAAATGGACATGGAGACGGCAGCTGCACATGCATATGATCATGTCCGCAAATTAGTGCTCCTGTTTCGTAATTGTCCTAGTCAACTTGGTTGAAAAAGCAGTCAGTACTTCTTCAGTCTTTTCGAACGTGCCGTAATAGAGCACTGTCTTCTTTGCGGGTTATCGGTCTCGCTTTTACTACGAATTATTCTCTAGATACACAATGTCATTCGCCGAGGAGATGTCAGACGTCCGGAGAAATTGACACAGCAGAGTGTCGCGCGGAACATGTACTATAAATTCCTCATCGGAGCATGCTCCGCCTTCTGCGGGATGCTCTTTTTCATTTCATTGACAACCCCTCCCACACTTTTGCTCATTTCCTCTGGAGGACTGGGGAAACAATCAACCAGTTTTCTCAGGTAATTGTGTCCTACTCGCCCAGCAGGGCACATCATTGGCTGGGGATTTTAGTCGA